CCAAGTTCCCAGGAATGGGTGCACTGGATCAAGGAGGGCACACTTTGAACTGCTCTTTTCTTCTGGATAGCTATCGTAGGGGCACTTCTAGGGCCAAATAGATTCAGGATGGGTGTCAGTAGAACCCCCCAACAACTCAAGTAGATCTGATACTGGCAATAATCTGAAATCAACCACTCCAGGGTTGTGGGTCAGCTGGAACCAAAACATCCAACTGTAGTCCTGTTGGGATAGACCAAAATGCTCTGGGGATGGCAGAGGTTCTATAAGGATCCCTGGATAACTTTAGGTATCATCCCTCCTGCAAGCACAGGGATGACAGGGGCTTCCAACCAAGGGCTGCATTCTTCTGCTGCCCTCCAGCCACAAACATGTATCTTGGGAGAAGCAGTAGATTGGAAAACAGCTAGTGAACCCCAGCTATATACCAAAAAAGGGGTATATAAATATCCTGGTTTGGATGACAGGTGTCTGCTAGGAAGGGCAGGAGCCTGCCTTGGAATGAAAAATGTAAACCCCCTCCTTCCCTATTCCTATAATTTTGAAATCAAGGGGCTCTCAGGCAGAGATCTGGGGATAGGAATAACAGTTCTTTACTAGTATGTGTAACAAGGCAAACAAACAACAATAACTACAGCATTAGCAACGAAACAGAACCAGGGACCCCATGACAGCTTTCTCAGCTGAGACGGGGAGGGATGGAGGAGAGGCTTTGTTTCACAAACCCCTCGGGAGGGCAGTCAGTGCTGGTGCTCCTGCAGGGCTCTGAGGAACACTCAGCTGGAACAGCAGGGATGAGCTGAGATCCTGGGCCGGTGGCTGAGGTGGATCAGCAGCTGCACGGCGGTGCCTGGCACTGCCACATGTCCCAGCAGGACAGGGAGTGCGAGGCCACCAACAAAGAGGGGAGAAGGAGAAGAAGCAGCAGCTCCTTCTGGGTGATGGTGAATTCCCTTCTCCCAACAACAACAGCTCTGAGAGCCTGTCCTGCTCTGAAGCTGAAGAAAACCAGCCAGCTCTCAGCTGCCCCTGCCCTCCCTCTCTCTTGCCCCCCTTCCCCCCTGGGCTCAGCCAAACTCCCTGTGTTTCCTAAACACCCAATAATGCCAGCAATCAGCTTTCCCCACAACTAATGGGCAGAAATTCCAGAGGTGAGAAGGAACGAAAGGAAGGACAGCCAACAATAAATATAGGGGGGTATATATATGTGTATATATATAGCCAGAGGGAAAGTGAGCATATATGCAAAAAAAGAAGAAAAAAAGAAGCCTAAAAATCCAATCCCTAAGAAAATTCCACTGTAAACCCTCTTGTGTGCTCAAGGATACTAGAAGGTGTCAGCTCATGGTCAGATACTGTACAAAGGGATGTGCTCCAAGGCTGATGAAGAATCATCCAAATGTTCCTGGGCAACTCTCTGGCACATTCAGTCTCACAGGCATGTCACCCAAACCCAGGCACACCCCTGGAGCAGGCACTGCCACATCCTAAGTGCACTAATCCATGCCTTTCCCTGAGTTTCCCCTCTGGCAGGTGGTGCAGCTGGCTGCTCCATCACTGCCCCTCTCTCCTCAGAGCTGGGACTCAGCTCCTCACAGTCCAGTTAAAGAGCAGGATACATCTTCTTGGTGGAGGGTTTGGTGGAAGGGGAGAACATCACAAACACAAAGTACCCAAGTTATGGGAAGGGATCACACCTGGTCCTTTGTGAACACATCCCCATTTGTGTCAGATCCCTGCAGAAAAGAACTGCTGGTAGCTCCATCTTCCATGCCTGGAAGGAGGGAAACTGAGGCATGAGAGCTGGGTGAGCAGAGAGCCTGTCAGAGCAGAGAACAAAGCTGGCCCCTAAGGCCACCAGCAGCATCTTGCTGACTGCCCCTGCCAGAGCATCCTTATGGAGCAGAGATTCCATTCCCATTAAGGGATGGGGAACCAGAGATGTGCCTCATGGTGACAGTTTAAATGGCAGTCACTGCAAATGAAGAGCTACAGAAAAGCAAAGGGCTGCCCTGGGCCACACCAGGTCCTGCCAGGGGCTTCCAGATTCACCCACTTTGGTATAAAATCCACCTTGGCCTCCCAGGAATTTGAGCACCTGCTGTGCTGCCGAGGTTTGGTGGAACTATGAATCCCACAAATAATAATCACTCCCCAGGGGTTGGCAGGATTAAGAGCTCAGCACTGGTTGAGCTCAGGAGCTCCAGTCCCAGGACTTGAGACTGTGTGAATGTCAAAAAGATCTCAATTCAGAGCCCAGCCTGAGGGACATGGTGCCAGAGCCAGCAAGGGAGAGCAGCAAGAGAAGGAAGAGATGAAGAGCAGGAGATCAGGAATCATTGGCTCAGAAAAGAGCAGGGAAGGCCATCGCCAGGGTCAGGCCTGAGGCATCATCCCACCCCTACCTGGGTTTTGCATCCCCTCCTCTGCTTCTTAATCATCTGTTATTTGAAGGCGAGATTTGTTTTATTAGGGGAAAAAAAAACCAAAACAAAACACCATTTATCTGGGTGATTTGCTGAGGTGTGTCCGAGATGGGAGGAATCCAAGTTAATTATTATCTGTCAGTGCAGTAGATGGAAAGTGGATAGATTGAGAAGGTCACAAGGCTGGCTGTGAGGGATGGGATTGCAGCACAAGGTGCCTGTGAGCAGGATCGACTCCAGCTGAGAACCAGGTCAGGAGGTGGTGGCAGAGGAGGCATTTCCCAGTGGTCCTTAGCAGTGAGGAGGAGCTCAGTGCTGGCAGGAGGTCAGAAAGACCTGTACCATGAGCCAGCAGGGAAAATAGAGACACACAAGTGGAGCCAGGCCATAGCCCCAGAACCCATCAGAGGGGATGGAGGGACAGAGCTGGGCAGTACAGCACAGCTCACCCTCAACCATGCTGGATGAAGCTGCTCTTTGCAGTCACCCCAGAAGTCTCTGACTCCCAGCCTCAGGGAGACGTCGCCGCTGTGGTTATCAGCGCCAAAGGAAGGGCGTGGGCTGGCCGGCAAGATGTGAGGAGCCCCGCGTTCCTCGGGTGGCCTTTGGGCAAACTCCACGGCTGAGCACAGAGCTCCTTCCTCCCAGGCCCTGTTTACAGATCTGCTGAGCCTGGCCTGGCTGCTATCACTGCTAAGTGCACAGATAGCACCATTAATAAGCACACTGCTGATAGCACAGGGGCAAACATTGCTCCTAACGTTTAGCAGCTTTCTCCCAACCTCTGAGTAAAGGCAGCTTCTCCAGGGCAGTCATTTCTGTGATCGATCCAGAGAGTTGGACTCACCTTCTCCTCTCCTGCCACTCTCACGCTTGCTTAATTAAACTTGTGTCAATACATTCCAGTAAAACAGCTGTTCTTCTTCAAATTAAGGACCAAATAAGGAGGATTAATCTGTTTCCCAGAGCTATAAAACTCCTCTAGGTTCAATTTCAGCTCCAAAGCCAAGATAGGGCAAGTCAGGCTAGGAAGGATGCCTCATCTTTGCAACACAGATGCTCAGTCCCATTGACAAAACTACTCAAGCACAGCAGGTACCAGCATTTTATTTCAGATCCATCTTTGAAGAAAAAACCTCCAATTTCAGCCAAAGTTTAGGATACATTTAGACTCACGGCCTCCATTTCCCACTTCTGTGTGGCCACCGCAATTTAGGATCATAGCACTGAAAAAGAACAGGTTTGTTAATGCCTTGCACAGAAATAGTTGGCTTTGACAAACAAAGAGACCACCAAATGGCTCTTGGGATGTCCCAGTTCCCTGCTGATCTCTGGAACAGAGTCTGGAAAAGAACCAGGTCCCTGAAAGAGCTCAACTGCACTCAGGGGATCTCAAAACATGAAAGCAAGGAGCAAGGGGATCCAAGAAGGTTGTCCAGACAGGCTGGAGATGCTGATGCTTTGGGGGAAGGCAGAACAAATCTAGCCATGGGTATTCATGAACTCCAGCCCAGACTGCAGCACCTGGGCTCCACCACAGCAGTGGAAGGGGTTGGTCAGACATTAAACATGACCCTTTTGCTCGCAGACATCAAACAATGGCTGCACCAGCACACACCGGGTGTTCTCACCCAGCAGAAATGGGCCCCTTTCAGTCTTGTTTTCCATCCCTTTCGTCACATCCCCACACACGATAACCTGTGCTCCCCCACCCACTCCTGCCCCTAATCAGCTGCTTGGGAACTATGTCATGGCTCTAAACTCCCAGCTCATGTGTTTGCCAGCTGTAAGGACCTCAGGGCTTGGGGGTTCATCCTGGGACACACATAAGTCCTCTCCTTCCAAGGCAAGGTCCATCCTCTCCTGATGGACCCTCTAAACTCACCAAAATTCAGAAATGGTGAATCCCTCCTGCCAGCCACAAAACCTGGGGCATCAGCTCACCACAGAGTCCCAAGCCAGAATCAGTTTGCCCTGCAAAAGGAGAGGGATCAAGAACAGCACGGCTTGGACCTAAAGCATCCCTGCCCACACATGGCCAAGACTGTGGGGCTGGCACATGTGGGTCTCACTTTGAAGTCAGCATTAGTAGGTTGTAGTTATCATCTTCAAAAGCAGCACCTTTGTGCCAAAAGAGCATCAAACTGGTGTTATCTGTGCACCAGTGCAGGGGTGGACTGCAAGCTTTACCTTTGGGGTAAGATTTGTGCCCTAGATAAAAGCAAAAAGAAATGGTACACGTGAGAAAAAAAATTTTAGGATCTACCTAAAAACAAGGGAATGTGGAACTTAAGTGGATTTTGGCCAAGGCAGTGTGGGTAAGCACTCCCAGCACAAGCTTAAGCCAGGAGATTAGCTCTACACCTGCCTGAGCCATGGCACAAATTAGTCACCACCGTTTGTGGTTTTACCAGTTGGCACATCCTGCACCGAGCCCGTTGGTGTGAGGCAACCCAGCAGGTGCATAAAGGAGCTGCTCCCCATTGGCTGCCTGTGGCAGATCTGAGAGCTTCCCACTGGGTAATTAATGTAATGACAATAATAGACACAAAGTAAATAAGGTGGAAAGAAAATAAATCAATGGGCTGTGAGCAGAGGCTGCATTTAGTGAGGAGCAGCCCTGACGGCTCCTGTCTGCACCTTGGGCTGTCAGAGTCTCCCATGTGTCCTGGTGGCATTCCAGCCGCTGGTTTGAGATCGGCTGCGTCCAAGGCTGTGCCGGCTCCTCGGGCAGCAGGAGGCTGCAGGCAGGTAAGGGTTGCGTTTGGCCGCTCCCCACAGCACAGCTAAGGGGTCAAGGGTCCCTCTGTGAGCCCTCTGGGCACTTGGGTACCTCCTGGTGCAGCCTGAACCGGCTTCCTGCTGATTTTATGGCCTCTAAGCTCCCTTTGGAGCAGAGAAGCTACAGCCCTAGAAGAAAGGAGGGAGTTCGCCCCTCTGCTACCAAGTTAGGAGAATTTTGGAGAAAAATGGGGAAGATTTTAGGATCAATCTCCACCAAGAGAAGTGCCAAGGAATTCAAGGCTTGGGGGTTCATCCTGGGGCACACAAATTAATCTTCTCCTTCCATGGAGAGGTCCATCCTGTCCTAATAGACCCTCTAAACTCACTTAGAGAGAAATGCTGAATCCCTTCTGCCAGCCACAAAAACCCAGGGGATCAGCTCACCTCAGAGTCACAGGGGCAAGGGCAGAGAGAGCACCTCTGTGCACACACAAAAGAAAAGGGAATCACTAAATTTCAATCCCTCCTCAATTTCTCCCCAAGACTACCTATCACAGAATGCTTAAGGTTCCCCCGACTCTCAAACACATCTCAGGGAGCTTTTTATTTCACTCCAGCCACTCTTCACTACAACCAGAGCCACACCCTGGAATGAAAGCACCTTTCCATGTACCAAATCTGTAGAGAGGCTGACCTTGCCTGATTGCTTTATGTGAGCAAGATTTCCCTCTCAAGAGCAATACAGTCCTACCTAAATTTTACCAAAAAGTGGATGGAAAAGCTCACAGACTCTACCTGGGCCAGTCCCTCCAGCTCCTCTGTCAGAGTCCTCACAGCCTTGTGCTACAAGAGGAAAAAGAAAGAAAAAACAAGTACTAATTAATTCTTATAATTAATTTATTAATATTAATTGTTTGCCAGTCTCAGCCCATCTGGGTGTGAGTTTGGATCTCCCAGCAGCTTATTCCAAACTTTACAGATCCTTTGTTTATTCTCTCCAATTCTGCGACAATTTGTGTGACCATTCAAGGAGCCTGTAACTCTCAGAGCCCAAAAACAAAAGGAAGAGGTCAGACTCATCAACTGAAAATCAAACAGCTCTGAATTTCAGAGCAGGTCTGAGCTTGCTCTTCATTTACACCTAATCCTTACGGCAGCAAAGGGAAAGAAGAAAACCTGAACTCAGGGCTGGAGAAGCTGTGAAAGGTGAGGGTGGGAATGGTTTGAGCACCTCTGGTCCCAGCAGCTCCTAGTACTGGTGGGGCAGGGCAGAGACATCAAACACCCACTTTAATGCTGGTGTATCTGGACAGGTTTTGGCAGAAGGGCCTTTCCCCGCTGCCCTGCAATGACTGTCCACTGGGAAATTTTTAATGCCTAACCTGGGCTAAAAACCAATCTCCTTTTCCCCTCCATTCAGCTTCTGGAGAAGGAAGGAGAAGCTGCAAAGCAAGGAAGGGACATCACCACACAAGTGGCCTTCACAGCACAGCACACAAGCTCCCATCTCAGCACGTCTTCCCTTTAAGCCTCCCCTTTTATCAATGCAACAAGTGACCCCTTGGCAAATGAGCCATGTCTGACAAGAAAGTCTCCAGGCCTTGCCATCACTGCAAGAGCAGGTCAGCATCAGCCCCAACAGACACCTCCAAGATCCATTATGAGAAGTTCTGGCTGTACCGTCACTGCTCTTCGGTGCAGCAGAGGGACCGGCAAGCTCAGAAGGCTGGGCAACTCTTCTCAGGGCTGCTGGCCATGAATGTGGTGTTTCTGGGCAGTGCCTTCATCAGCAGCATGATCTTCAACAAGGTGGCCATCACTCTGGCAGACGTCTGGATCCTGCTCTCCATCCTCAAGGTCCTGTGCCTGTTCTGGATTATTTACTACCTGCTGGGCACCAGCCGGCAGCCACACGCGGTGCTCTACCGGGACTCCCACGCCGGAGCCATCTGGATTAGGGGTAAGTTCTGCTTTTACTTCTTCTCTCATGCCTTCTTCCAAAGACTTAGAAGGCAAAGCAACTCGTGCCCTGTTACTAGAAGAGCTAGAAGCCATAGGATATGCAGTTAGGGCATTGGGAATCTCCCAGTTTGTGTCAGGCTGATGGGCATGGTGGGTGCCATGGAGTGGAACCAGAACAGCCAGGAAAGCCTGAAATTTGGCTTCCCTTCAGCCTCCAGTCAAACTTTGCTCTCAGATCCCTTCAGAAAGAGCAATCCAGGCATAACCCCTTTCCAGGATGGCAACTGAGCATCGTGGGAAAGCCATAGGAATGATTTTAGGCAGGAGCACTTTGAAAAGTGAGAGGAGAATCACTGTGTTTATCCTCCAAGAGCACCAGTGGCCCTGTGTCAGCATCATCCTCACTTAACATCACCACAGCCTTGTTGCCAGGGAAGGATTCTTATCCATTGAGTCACATCCCACTGACACCCAGGCTTTCCTGGGAGATTTTCCCCTTCTGTATTTGCCCCACTTTAAGAAACAACCCTTTTCCCAGAAGCCCTACCTCTGGTCTGTCATGGAGTTTTTAATTAGGCACTGTCTTGTTAACTAAGTATAGACAATAAATTCAAGGAAGCTGTAAGGTACTTGAGTACCTAAAGCTGCAGAGACATGTTCAAGACAAAAGGGAGAAACAATCAAAGGGTCCCAACTCCTGCAGATGGGGCTACTGCAGATGGACCTGTGGTCATCTCAGGTTTCCCCCACAAGGCAGAAAGCATCACCCATAATTAACTTACCCCTGTCATTCCAGATTGTACAGGGAAGCTCAAAACCCCCATCCCCACCTTGTATCCAAGGACAAGAAAATACCCTGCATTTTCCCAACACCTTTAACCAGTCAAAGCACACAATCAGGTTCAAGAATAAGGCTCTCCTATTTCCTCTTCTCCTAAAATCACGAGAATTCCAGGAGAAAGATTGCCAGCTCCACACAAATCCAAGAAGCACAAGGCCTCCTGTCCCCAGCCAAGCTCAGATGCTCCACAGACATGTCTGTGTTTATTTACTGGTCCTTTGCTGTTTGTCCAGGGTCAGTGCTGCTGTTTGGCAGTTGCAGCATCCTCCTGAATGTGTTTCAGATTGGCTACAGCACAATCCTCATCCACTGCAAATCCAGGGTGGAAATCTTGTTCCCCAGCATTGGAATCCTTTTTATTTGCACTCAGGTACTGCACATCACCCTTCTGGAAGCTTGTTTATTCTCTCTATCCCATTCCTGGGAGCCGCTGGGTTGGGGGGAAGCTGGGAGACATGGGAAAGTGAATGAACATGGGGCATTCTCCTGAGCATTGAAAGCATTAAAGCATCACACATCACTTCAAACGCTACCTGCACTCCCTGTGTGCCACATTGAGAGACAGGGAAGAAAGATTCAAAAATTACCCTAGAAATACCTGACATACCAGGTCCAGAGGAATTTGCATTGAAGCAAAGTAAGGAGAGAAGAGAGGAAATTTCAGGTTTTGCCAGAGATGTCTTCGCACCAGTCTGAGCCTCAGCCCTTCTTTGTATTTACCAATCCATCCACCCAACAAAATCCTTTGCACACAAAGATATCTTGCACCATTTTCACCTTGCTATTCAACACCAGCCCTCTTTTTTACGGACCCAAAGCCATATTTGAAAAGCAAACTAATTCCCACCTCAGCAGCAAATACAGGACAGAGGAACACGGAGCTTCAGGATGGGCATTCAATGCAGTCACACATAAATGTTGCCCTTACCCAAGGATGCCAGCACCTGCCTCAGCCCTGGGGTGCAGGTGCACACATGTCCCTGCACCCTTGCACAGAGGCAGGTTTGCTCCTGCTTGGACCTGTATCTTCTTGTCTACCTGTCCCTTTCCACCATGTGTGCAGCCAGCTGCCAACTTTGCCCTGCTCACACTGTTACTGTTCTCAACTTGCAGGCTTACTTTCTGTGGCATCACTCTAAGGACTGCATTCAAGTCCAGCACAACTTCACCAGGTAAAAAATGAGGATAAAAAATGTCTTCTAGTGCTCTAAAGAAATTTTTCCTTTCTGCCTGTGATATCCATTATGATTCCTGCTAGAACTGTGTTTGATCCTACACAGGCCCTATATTCTGGGTCACACAAGAACCAAACTATGCCTTGTTCAGACTCATCCCCCCTCCCCTGACCTGAGCTCACCAGCTCCCTTCAGTTTTCCTTTGTGCCTTGGAGCTCTGCAAAGCTTGTTCCTTCCTGCCAAAAATCTTCCTGCTGCCTGTCTCAGGGACCAGCTCAAAGGAGGGAGGATGGGAGAGGGTGGTCTCCCCATTCCTATCACTGGGAGGTGTCTCAGCTTAGGCCAGCTTCACCAGGCATTGCCTGCCCTGCTCCTCTGGAAATGGCAAGTGAGAATGTGCTCAGCTGTGTTTGTGCAAAGCCACACCCTACAGGCCTCAGGCAGATCGGGCCTGAACACCCCATGTGTGTTCAAACCAGTGCCAGCAAGAGGGGAAGGACACACTGGCCATGGACCATCTCCAAACATTGTACAAGTCCTGTGTCTCCTCCCAGGTGTGGGCTGATGCTGACCATAGCCACCAACCTTCTCCTCTGGCTCCTGGCCGTGACCAACGACACCCTGCACATGGAGATCGAGTCTCAGCTGCGCGAGGTGGAGCAGCGATTCGCAGGCAAGGCTCCTTCACATCCCCACTGGTGTTAGGCTGACACAGATGACTTCTAGGGAAACAACATTTCACAGAACCCTGAAACTGAGGGCTAGAAAAGGAAAAGCCCACCATAAATTAGAATTTTTTTCTTGCTTTTTCCTATTAACTGCAAGCACAAGACTGCTAGAGTAGAAGAGGCTCATGTGACTGCTGTGGTCTTCTTTCTGAGGATACAGAGGAATAAAGGGGAATCTAATATTCCAGGGGTAGAAATAGAGAAGGCTTTGTTGTGAAGGAAAAGGAGTCTCTCATCCAGCACCTGTGGTGGTGATTGTGGGTGGGAAAAGACATTAGCTAAACTTTGTTATTCTGAAACCTCACATCCTTTATGACTGAGTAGTAGCCATTTAACTTCCTGCTGATCCCTGCTTCTGAGGCACAGACACACATATTGTGCCTGCACACAAGAAACTCCCAAAGACATCCATGACATCCAGGCCATCTCCCTCTTAATTGTCACCTTCCTCTTCTCATGCTCCAGGCAATGAGACTACCTCGTGCACATGCCCAAACACGACCATCTGCAAAGTCTTCCAGAAGGGCTACATCCTGCTCTACCCCTTCAACACCGAGTACTGCCTGATCTGCTGCTCCGTGCTCTATGTCATGTGGAAGAACGTGGGGAGACACATCAGCCACCACCACGTCCCGCACACCAAGCCCAAATTCAAGCTCCAGGGGGTGGTCTTTGGGCCACTGCTGGGCACCAGTGCTATAATCATAGGGGCCTGTGTCTTCATGATGTACCAGATCCAGGCCACCAGCTTGGTCCCCAGCCACCAGGTCTTTGTGATCTACTATTCTTACTATATTGTGCTCCTGCCCCTGATGAGTGTTGGTGCCGTGATCGGGACAATCATCCATGCCTTGGAAAAAAAGGAGCTGGACACGCTGAAGAACCCAACCCGCAGCCTGGACGTGGTCCTGCTGATGGGGGCAGCCCTTGGCCAAATCGGCATGTCTTACTTCTCCATTGTGGCCCTGGTGGCCACTGACCCCAGGGACCTGCTGAACAGCCTCAACTTGTCCTACTCTGTCCTCCTCATCTTTCAGAACATCACCCAAAATGTTTTTGTCATCGATGGGCTCCACCGGCGGCGCGTTGTAGCAGAAACTGAGGCCAAACATGCCAGACACACTGGGCAGCACACGGTGGGTGCAGAGCTGCCTGGGGAAGAGGACACCACGCTGAGCAGCAAACAGGAGTACAGCCAGCCACCTCCTGGCAAGGAGGAAGACACTAAAGAAGAGCAGAATCATGAAGCCCACAGCCAAAGACGAGTGAGCGTGCTGGAGCTGGGACAGGAGATCCGGAAAGCTTCCTTGTCCTACATCCATACCTATTCTCACCTGAGCTGGAAGAGAAGAGTCTTGAGGGAGATCTCGTTCTTCTTGATTTTGTGCAACATCATAGTAAGTACTGTGCTCTCTGCTCCATCCCAGCTCTGGCTGAGCCATGGTAACCTGTGACACAGACATGATCTCTTTCTCTTGTATTCCAGACAAAAAAACCTTTCCCCACTAAATTTCAACCTAGTGGTGAGGCAAGTCAAGACCGGTTTTGCTGTTAATACCCCACCCTCATAATTACAAAGTCTCTCTTTTACCCTTAGAGTCAAGTATTACTGGGTTTCATGGGTGCAGGGAGGAAACGGCTAATAAATCCTTACTTGCCAAGATTTTACCCCCTAGGAAAAACTTCATTAGGCTCATTAAGGGTGTTTCATGAGAAACGCGAAAGAAAATGTGGAGCACCAGCATTAAGTCTCTGTAAACATGAGTCTCCAGGCTTGAAACTCACCCAGTAAAGTACACTGTGGTTTGGGATCTTGAATCAACGCTGCAGCCTTAATCCAGTGAAAACACATTGCCCAGGGAAACAGCGAAACCCTGTAGAAAGATGAAGCAGGCTGGGGCAGAAAGGGGCTGTCATTAGGTTTCCAGGGATTCAACAGGATTTTAGTTACAGCAAGGAGTCAACAGCCTAACTATGGGTTTTCCTTCTCCTTACTGGCAAGGAGACTACTGTGATACTCCTGAAATATTCCTACAACCACTTGAACCAGTGCTGAGATTAGGGTGTAAGTAGAGGACAGTTTGTCATCCTCTAACTTGTGTTTCTTTTCCTCACATCTCTCCAGCTGTGGGTCATGCCCACATTTGGGGCTCACCCTGTCTTCGAGAATGGAATGGAAAGGTCATTTTATGGCTACTCCACCTGGTTTGTGATCGTGAACTTCGGACTCCCCTTGGGTGTGTTTTACCGCATGCACTCGGTCGGGGGGCTCCTGGAGCTCTATGTAACAGCCTAAGCCAAGGGGCTGGGGAGAATCAGTGACGCTGAACAAAGATGCAGTAAGCAGCAGATATCCACGTGTAAGCTTCCAAGATTTTTCTCCCTCCAGCTTCTACTTGGACTTCTTGTACAACATCACAATGAATTTCAGAAGAGGTTCTTTGATATTATCCTTTTCTACCATAGAGAATAGACTCAAAGCCCATAAACAAACTCTCACTGCTCTCAGGAATCATACATGCAGTCACAGGATGCTGTTTGGCAGCAAGTGGAACTTTACCAACTCTTATTGAGATCTTCCAGATAAAAGAATGCAAGGGCAGCAAAAGCAATGAAGACTGGCCTGCACCAATTCAGAAAATCAAAAGCAATCAAAAAATAAAAGCTGTAACATGACCTTGCCTTACTGAGAATAAACGCTGTTTCTTTCTACAGGCACTCCCAGAGCCTCAAGTAGGAATCACTAGGGAAGCACTGTGGGGGATCTTTACTCACCATGGATGATGTTGTCACTGGTATGGACTAGCCAAGGTCCCATCCTTGCACACAGGGCTAGTTCAAGAGCAAGCCACTGCCACATCCACTGTGAATCTCTCCTCACCCCAACACTTTGGCCCTTGCTGCTGCCTTGCACATCCACAAACCTTTCCTGGGTTTCCATGCACAAAGGAAGGCGGCTGCAGTGAGGTGCCTTATCAAAGACCCATTAGGATTTGTTCCATAGGGATGCCTGCTTTGAAAGCACGTGGGAGAGAGCAAGGGGCTTGTGACTATGGGTCCCAAATTCAGAGCCTGATGAATGGAAATAAATTGAATTTTCATGTGTGTCTTGTGAAATCTCTGCATCTGCTCTGCACTCAACAGGCTCAAAGTCAACTCACTTAAACTGCTCTTGCATTCAGAGCTTGTATGAGGCTCTGAGCAACCTGGCCTAGAGGAGGGAATTCCTGCCTACAGCAGATAAGCTTTATGGTCCCTTCCAACTCAAACCCTCTGGGATTCTATGAGATTTAAGAGAAGGCCTGCTCTATAATCAATCAAAATCTGTCATAACCCTTACCTAAGCATGGCACAAAAGGTATTCTCATTATTGCTTCTGTTCCTCTGTAAATCAATCCCAGGATCAGTGTGGGTTTAGGATTAGAGCCTATTTATGGGGGGTTTTTGGGATTCCCTAGTAAAGCAAACTCTTCCAAGACAGTGAGGATTCTGTATTTGGGCAGTGATAGCACCTTTCTGTACAACTCTAAGTGAGACTGATTGCATGAGCATGAACTTTGCCCAATAAGTGTTTGTATTTGGGCCCATGTCAACAGAAACATGTCATGAGAAATAACAGCTGGATAAATTAGGCTCCAATAAAGTTAATTATTATTCTCATATCAGTGTTTGTACCATGGGATCCACAGGACATACATGCTAAGGTCTGACCTCAAACCTTCTTCCTAGTGACTGACAGGCTGGGGACAAAGAAGGATGGCACTTCATGGGCAAATCATGACCTGGATTTTATCCAGTTTAATGGATAAAACACTGGTTTAAGTTACTGAACTTTACAGAGCAGATGACTTTGGATTGAACACTGAATGCATGACTGAAGACATGATCAGCATGGACAGGAATGAATTCCACCAGCTCCAACTCTCACCTACAGCCACCACAGATCAGATAAACAGTCAAGGCACTCCATGTCATTTCCTAACAAGGGCCAGGGTGCCTGTTTTACAGGTCTCAACTACACAAAGGTTTTATACATAGTTCACGAACTCAGAAGACTTGATCCTGTTTGATCTTTGATGATGCTATAAACACAGAAATGGCCAAACCCACACAATTCAGGGTCATTTTCCAGAGTAAAATCTTCACTTCTGATTATAAAAAAATTACCACTGCAGAGGAAGCCAGCCCATGGTTCCCTAGTGGCACAAATCACCTCAACGTAAGACAAACAAGATTATAAACCTCTCTCTGAGGAAGGAAAAGAAGTACCCAATTGCATGTTTCAATTAATCTTTATCTTTCTCTCCATAAGTAAGCAAAGAGTTTACAGTGCAAGTTGATTTCCACAGAACAAGGATCAGACTCCAAACACCAAGAAACAAACAAAAAGGCTTCCAGAGAAACTCACAAAGAAACAAAGCAGAAAAGAGAGGACGGAAGAGATCATGAGAACCAGCAGATCCATGTGAGTGAAGAGGCAAAGCACATGGGACACAGGAGGCCCCATTCCAGCTGTGAGGTGCAAGTGCCATACAATCAGTCTGGCCCCACCAAATCACATTCTTATACATGAGATTCTCCAAGTGAAACAGAGCCCTTACCCTGTTTACACCTGAAGAGAGGTGGGGTCAGGATGGGAATAGTGCTGGGTGGCAAAGTGGGTTGGAGATGGGAGGCAGGTGGGGGAATAACGTCTCTCTATTTCACGTATTTCTTATCCTTCAGCAAACCATTCTGGTTTTATTTCACTTTCTAGTGGCCCAGGACTCCATCCTCTTTCAGTGCCCAGAGGAGGAAACCACCTGACTACAGGCCAGTGGGGGCCAGCAGCACACTGGAACAGCTCTCTGGGAGAGGATGGCCATGCTGTTACCATTGCAGCTGCAAAGCTTAGGCCAGGATTACAAGTCACAGAGCATCTGTCACACTATCCCTGTACTTAATGTGACAGACCTGTGTCCCTGCAGTGATGCCACTGGGTCTAACCTGTAGCAAACAGCTCATGGCCAGCAATTCAGCTCCCAAGAGCCTGAATAAAAGAGCACCAAGGACTATGCTTTGATGGAGAGCGGAGGGTCACAGTTCATGACAGGACCCCTCACATTTCATTGTCTGAAGACCACATGGGTCTAAGACAGCAGCCCCTCCCAGTAGAACATAAAATTTGATTCAAACCCCAGGGTGTCTCCACTCACCAATATGTAACCCCATGATGCTTAACCAAGCCAGGAACAGCAGATCTCCCACCAATTCCCATTCTGGCTTCCCAAAATTTATGCATGCTTGGGACCCAATACATTCAAGATCCAATAACTTCATCGATAAGCAAAATGCCCTGAAGAATTAAACTTTGCCTCAGCACTCTCCACTCTCTACTGACATGGAGATGCTTTTCCTCCTACAACTTCCAAATTCCTCCTACAACTTCCCTGAGTGCCTCCCTCAAACCCTTGCCTTAACAGCAGTGTGCAAAAGACCCTTCTGCTCCCTGCATTACATCAGTTTTCCAGGCAAAGATGGAAGGATATGGTTCCTTTCAAAACCAAGTGACGGTGTCCTTTCAGCCAGTGTGAGAAGACTTTAAAAGTTATGTCTCTTCTCCTTGCTCTCACTGAGCCAGTCCCTTCCTCCCTGTGTGCCCACATGGATAAAACAGGGCTTTCAAAACTAAGACAGTCTCCTTTGCAACAGCCTACCATGAAGGACAGGCTGCAGGGCCTGGAAGCCACACCAACAAAACTTCTCAAGCAGCTTTCCAGGAAAGGACTAGAGAGATTCAGAACCGAGACACAAAGTTTTCCTTCAACATCTTCTCCTTTCATTTAGGTGGGAAAGACTTCTCTATATGCAACTGAGACACCAGGGAGATACCTGCAGCCAGAAGGGATGCCCTGGAAACTTTATGGAGCTACATGGAAGTAACTGCAGTTTCCAAACCCTGTCTCCTGCAGGAATAGCAGCTTCTCCCTTTGCACCCAATTTACAGCTAGTCTTTTTCAATGAAATGCTGACTCTGACCAGGGCAAAGACAGGGTCAGATTGGTTTCCAAACCACATCCAGAAGCAAAAGAGTAACAGAGGAGCTAAGAACAGTCTGATTTCTAGTGCAACCACAACAATGGACAATCCCTTAGATATCTTTAACTCAAGATTCATAGTGAAGGGTGAGGGAAGAGAAGTGAGCTGGGGGAAGGGATGTCCAAGCAGGTCCCGATTAAAGCTTTAAATGACAGGGAGGTAAATGAAGTGATTGTCCTTTTGGTCTCTCAGCTGGATGTGAAATGCAGGAATAGCTGTGATGAAGCAGCACGCCACAGTCCTTAGATCCAGTGTATTTCTCTCAGTAGAGGTAAGTGCTCTCTTCAGACCCGTTGAATTTCAAACAGCTTAACATCTGTGTCATACCAGATTGGGGGATCCACGTTTCTGAGAGAGAAAGACAAAAGTCACTTTACTCCCTAGCCAGTGGCCAGTTACACAGAATTCAAATCTCACAGCCATGATTACAGGAGCTGGCTGCACAGCATGCCTTCAGCTTTGCATAAAAGGAAATCACTGGTTGAGACAATGCACCTTACAGGGATGACAGTATCTACAGCATGCCACAAAGCCAGAGCTTTGCATAAAATCTCTGCACCAGACCCTCTGGGCAGCTTTTCTGTTCCCTGATGCTGCCAGTTTTCAAACAAGCAGCACTCCCAGATCAACCTCCTTCATGTCACCCACTCAAAGTTTTCAAGCAGCTGATTCTCCCCAGTCTCTTCCAAGGGAAAAACATCTTTCTATCCTGTAAATATGAGATAACCCAGGGCTGGCTGAGTTCATGCATTCTCTCTGTAGGCCTCCCAAAAGTCTGGAAAAGACCAAGTCACACTGCACCCAGCTGGTTTACCTCAAATAAATAACTCCCCACATGTAGGTGCGGAACCACATAGCAGTGCCCGAGTTTGCCTGGTACTTGCGGATGAGGATGGGGTGAGGCACTGGCAGCAGCCCCACCAAGGTGCCATGCTGCAGGAACTTGAGGATCTCCGACTCATCCGTGAGACCTCTGCCAAGACACAGACCAGGAACATCCTTAGCATGTTCCACAGACACCTCCAAAATTGCTGCAGCACAAAGGATCAGCCTAAACAAACACAGCTACTGAGCCATGGCCAAAGAGAACACACCCCCTCTCCTCTGTAAACAGAGTGGAAAAGGGATCAGACAAACAAGATGTTTGGCAAGGAAAGTAACAACTCTGCTGAATCCAGGATGCTTTCAATTAAACCTTACAAGGTTTCCCTTAGGGGCCCTCCAAATTCAAACTCTGCCAACTTCACATTGCTCCTTAAACACTACACAGCCCTTCCTCTCCAAAAATCTCCTTACTTGTCAATGCAGATCTTCTCCACCTGAGGGACCAGCACCTGTAAGAGCCGCATGATTGTCTGCAGAGGAAGCTTTGACTTCCAAGACATCACCTATAGGTAAGAAAACAGCAGGGAAATCAGTGTACTGCATTAGCAAGTTTTTACAGCTGTCTCTGCAATCTCTGCAACAAATGAAGTTTACAATAATCACAAAGCTGGTGGGTGAACTGAGTGCACAGGAGAATACAATAAATCCTTGAGTACTGGAATTATGCGGCACCCAATGAGACCAGTGGGGCATTAGTTTGAAACAGGTAAATAAAATATTTCTTTGCAGATGTCAGTACATTGAAGTTCTGGAGCTTTGACCTCAAGTGCCTATGAGGAAATACTGCTCTGGGAGAGCCTCTGATGGCAGAGAAGGAGCAGGGAATGTGAGACATTTCTGCCACAACTCTTTCTCATTATTTATTTCCTCTGTCCAGATGCCCTTACCCAGTCAGGAGTTGGAGTCCACTGTCCACTGGAGGATGCACTAGAGAGACGCCTTCGATCCCGCCACGAATGTGATGCCTCCTATCCATAAACATTATTTTTAACAAATAAAAACAAACTAATGAAAACCACACTTAAGAGTAAGAAATACAATGTATTTTCTGCTGATATTCTCCCCAAATTTTCTAGGCCACTATTGGGAAAGACAGCTCAGCCTGTCCCTAGAACACGTCAAGCCCACCCAACCTTCATTCACCAAAACCCATGTGCTCTGACCCAGAGAGTGGCAATATTTGATGAAGTTGGAAGACCCTGTGGAAGGTCACTCCAGTCACCACTGTTGACACTCTGCTGAACAATCTACCCATGGCAGAGTTAAACCAGGACTGACAAGAGACTGTTCAGGCATGCTTCTTTCTCTTGGCACAGAGATTAAAAAGCTAAAGGCCACAGATTTTTCAGCCTCTCTCTACTGAGTATCTTTTGGATTTTTTTGTGTTCATTCTGGAATATCTTAAAGAACATTTTTGTCCAAGGGTAGGGTCCCAGCAACTCCTATCTAATAACTCTTGCCTCTTGAGGAATGACTCACTCAACCACTTTCCATATTCATGGTGGGAAGGAGGGAAGAAAATAACCCTCTAAAATCACTGTCGATCTCTGCACAAGGTGAAAACAGAGAAACTTTTTCCTTTAGTAATGCTCCCTGACTATTCACTGCTACAGCCTAGAGCTGACTTTTCTACAAAACAAATGGGAATAGCACTTCCTTCCAACAGCCATCCTGCATGGACTCACTCATTCACTCGTCACCTTCACAACCAGAAACAGCCAGCTTAGGGCAGAGCTTTGCCAGTGTTGTTCAGCTGGGGAACAGCTTGAGTCAGCTGCTGGACACACATGGAAAGACCCATGATTATGTTTCATGGGCTGCTGGAAGAAGAAAACCTTCCACAAGTTCTCAGTCAAGATCTCATTTAATGACAAAATAATTAATTGTGTGCTTAAGATGTCTCACTGGCCATGGGCCTTCACCTGGCAGGCAAGGCCAGGAAGGGGAAGTAAAATTAGTACTGGAGTATTTGGGAATTCTGTACATTCCAATCTATTCAAATCCACTCTGAGGGCAGCACCTCAGCCCAGCTTTCATGGGAACACACTGCTCACAGCACCAGGTAGCTAAAAGATTCTGGTAGAGCTCTCCATCCCAAGGGAGATTAAAAAGAAGCAGCAGTAAGAACCTGAGCTGAAAACATAAGGATGAGGAGGTTTCACAGACATCCTCTAGCAATTCTGCACTCACTGCTCTGTCATAGTCTTCATGTTAGAGAAAGCTCATTCAAATGCCCCAGCTCTTGTGTCACAGCGCAAACATGAAACACCCAAGATGATGCAACAGCCCTTCTGAACCACGTTGTGTCCCAGCACCCTGCACGTGTGCACACTGCCTTTAGTGCAACGCCTTTTTTCAGTGGGCCAACAGACCTCTTCTTCTAACCCCTCATTTTTGTTCATTTCGCCTTGACCTTCCCTGCACACCAGTGTCTGGCCTTACCCCACTCCAGGGCTCCCCATCACTCAGGGCTGCAGGTGGGTTTCCCTCTGGTGACAGCTGGGAAGCCTCAGGCTCCAGTGAACGCATAGTCCCATCCTCTGACACCTGGGACTTCTCTGTGAGCTTGTCAATCCCTGTGTTCAAAAGAGGAAAAGCTCAGAAACACAAGTTAATTAAATACGTTTAAAAGCAGAGGGCTCTTCCCTGCCCCACTATGCATAGACACCCTGTGTCTCTGCTGATATTGGAAAAGCTCCTCTTTCAACAGGAGAAGCAAGATTTAGCTTTGATTTCACAACCCCAAAGGAGTTTTTCTTTACAGAAATGCTCCCTGAGGAGGAGGAACATAGGTTCATATGGATAAAGTTAACCTGAGGCAACAGGTCAAGATTAGGACAAATGGTCATGTGGACACTAAGTCTGAGAGGACAGAAACTCAAAGCAGTTTGTTTGTGATCAGCTTGGGCCAACTGATCTGAAACTCAGACTAGAAGGCAATTCAGTTATTCACAGATGTAAACTCTTAATCTCTCCACACCCAGTGAAAGGGTGAGTCCACTCCGTATCTCACAGAGAAAACAAACCTCTCTCCTGTCCCAAAGGTAAACTAAAGCTCACCTGGAGTAGCCACCAGACTGGCCTTCAGCGTCCCTGGTTCAGCAGGGGCAGCAGGACGTGACCCTTCCATGGAGACCCCGTCCTGGGAGTTGGTGCGAGAAATGGGTTCAGGGCTTTTCTTCTTCCGCTGCAGCCCCTTCTGGATGGACTGGGAGTCCGTGGGTAGGTTGGCCAACTGGTGAAAGACATTCCGCTTGCGGATAACAGCATACACCAAATTGGAGTTCCCTGGGAATCACAGCAACAAAAGGAGCAGAGAAGTAAAGCTCAAAGAGCTCTGCCAACCCAGCACAGCCTGACTGCTCCCACCCACAAAGGCAGTGGCACAGGGAAGAAAGAGCAGAGCTCAATATCCTCTTCTCTGTTACAAAGGAATACAGAAAATTCAGTAAAATCCTTCCTAGGCTAAAAAGCTGACAAGAAATGGCTTGGTGAGGGATATTCAAACAGTTGAGAATAAAAAAAGACAGTTTAAACATTATATTAGCATCTATTTTGGAAGAAAAGATTACTAGCCAAGGCTCAACTTTTTTCTATCTTCAAAGGAACTCACAAAAAAAATCAGGGCATTTAATTTGAGGAGACACAGGCTTGAAATAGCAAAGACAAAAAGGCCAGAATTCTTGCTGCCTGAAAGATGGTACAGAACAGAATAAAACCATCCCCTAATATAAAACACAAATTACACCCATAAAGGCTGTTTCTGGATTTGGCAATTGCCACATGCAAGATTCCCATCAGGGAAGTAGAAT